TACAACAGTACCCAAGTAATTTGCCATTGCCTTCTTCCAGGATTATTTTTTTAAAAAAAAATCCTACAAATTTGGGATTCCCTGATGGTCTCTCATTCATCAAGTCCAATCCTCCTTTGCTTTCCCAAAATTAACCAAGATTACAAGATTACTTCATTTGCTGTGTCAAAATGGCTAGTAGTGTGACTGTATTCTGTTGCAGTTGGTGATGTAGCCTTTCCTTCCACACTTTTAGATCTTTATTACTTCAATCATTGGAGCTGTCAAGCAGTACAAATGTCCAACAATTTCTCCCATTTCCCAGAATGGACTGTAATTATGGGATGATAGTGTTTGATATATTTCTCCTGATGAACCTTTGCAATGAGAAAAAGAACTCCATTATGTTCTCCATAGATCCAATAAAACAAACCCTTCTGCAAGTAATATTTCCAACTCTACAGATCTGATGTATACTAAACAAAATGGAAATTATCATTATCCATATTCTTTTTGCTCTAGAAAATAGTTTTCTCATTTTATTTATTTGTCTCAGCAATATATAGCTACACAACACACAGTATAGTGACCCAGATGGTGAACCAAAAGATTAAGAGCAAAAGAAAAACAAGCGTAAATAATAACCAGAATAGAGATATATGTTCAAGGTCTAATTCCATGTCTAATTCCAATTCAGTCAGCAAGACTCATGTAACCACCTGTCCAGTGTGGGATTCAAATATGTGAACAACTGGTTCTCTGTGTGGATGCTGCTTCCAAAAGTCCATTCTGGGCCTAAGCAACAAAAAAAGTTCTGCCGAAGCCACCACTGCACCTGTCCCAAATCCTGGGAATAATCAAATCCTCAATACCTTACAAGATGCCAGCAAGGGCAGTACCATCTGGATCTCTCATTCCAAAAGGCAATTGATGCAGTATAGAAAGAATGATTCCCCATCACACCACTGATCTGGGGGATAAAGGGACATATAACATAGTTCCTTTACAAGGTGCAGAGAAGCGTTGGGTTTTACTTTTTTTTTTTTTTGGTCTTTCACAATAAGCTTAATGAATTTCTACAAAATAGCATACTTTCATATATTTCATACTATAAAGCTTTAAAAGATCATAGGTTAATTATATCAGCATTATTTTCTCAGAATACTGTTTTGAGTAGCTTGGTCTTAAAATGAAAATGAAAGAAATGAATAAAATTAATGTCGTGTACAGACAAACTATGGACAATCAAAGGGCATAATAGAAGATCACCTTGCATTCTCTTTCTTTCACACCTCTGCTTCAGGAGCCCTTGGAAAAGTTTTTCCTAAGATTTTACTATACCAATAGTCTAAGCACCACAGATAATTGAAGCATTATTATGAATTTATGTAAACAAGTTTTCCCCAATCTGACATTCACCAGAGGGTTTGGACTGCATCTCTCATCATATAAACCAGATTGGCCAATTGCCATGCAGGTGATTGTATGTTAAGAATCAGTAGTGCTAATGCACCTCTTAGCCCTTTCATTCATTTATCTCCAGCTGATCATCAACCCCATTTCTTAAATCAGACCACCTTTATTAAAAGCTATCACATCCTTCCCCTTTATGTTAGTTTAGAAGGCATACAACATATCTATTTTTAAGTTCATCAATTCATGCTCTTTTCTTCTATTATATGTCACAATCCTCCATTTGGCAAACTAAAGCTATATTGTCTATTTAATAGTAGAAAACCACCTAACTAAACATTGTGTTCCAAGCAGGAATTATATCTGAAGAAGCACTGCAAAGAAATTTATGAGAAATTGTTCTTAAGTTGAGGACAACCTGAATCTCTTTGTGGCTCATGTTATTGTATAGTAAACTCTAGAACCTAGTGTTTCTCAACAGACTTATTAGCCAATTAATTAGTCTTAGTCATTTAGCTGTCTAATTTTTTTTCATTGGTTCTATAAACAACCAGGTCTGATGTATCACTCTGATAATCCTGAAGCTTTTCAAGCCATGGCTTATCACAAGTCTTGAAACTTTAGCCATTTTTAAGCCTGTAGTTGGAAAAACCAATATTTCTAATACTAAAAGCTTCTTTAAGGAATTTCTACAAATGGGTTCAAAGCATTTTAAAGACACAGGAGCTAAAAGAAAAATAAATTTGAACAAAATATTCACTGTGCTGGATGTAACCTTTTAAAAGTGCTATAAATTCTTCACTTGAAAAAGGAATATCAGGGAAATAAAATATTATACAAATTGTGATGTCATAAGCTGAAAATTTCCATGTGCTAATTAGCAAATAGAAGAGTTGTTATTTCCTGTTAACAAATCATGCTGCAGGGCACGCTTTGTAATTGCATGAGTCATTTATTCTGAAAGTTGTGAGTGCTTTGAATTATATATATTAGCTTTCTTGTTTTTGAAACCAGTTAAATTATATAAAGTATTACTGAAGAAGTTCTCAAAGTTCATTAATATATTAACCAGTGTATTTGTCAAAAATTCATATGTCATTTTGAAAAATGCTTCATATTTCAGCTCTAACTAGAACATATCCTTCTTTAAAAAGAAACACAGTATATTTGTCTATTTGAACAGAGTATCATTAAGTGCAAAGGAGCTCAGTATCAAATGAGGAAAACTATAAACTTATTTCTCCTGATTTTTAGATGAAAGGTTTTTATTTTTACAGAAACCTAAATTATATTGAGAACAATTGGAAACGCTTAACATATTTTTCACTCATTTCACTATCTGACTATAAGACTTTGGTGAAGACTCACTGTTTGTTTTTTTAAAAAATCCAGTCTTAATTAGAAATTACATGTATCCGCGTACCTGAAGGATCATTCTCAGGAAAAATTTATCTCAATATGGAGAAGATGGATAGATTATATTCAGAGAAAGTATGAACTGAAAAATTATTATGTAGCTTTTGATTAAAAACTTAGAATAAAAATAGGTATATTATATAATATAACTAAAAAAAATTTTTTTTGTTATAATTTAATGTTATTTTAGAGTCATAGCAATTTTGTACTAGTGTGTAGTAATAATGAGTAGTTTTGATTAGAATTGGATGTTTATGTATTTATTTCCTAGATTAGCTTTGGGAAGTCCTGGGGGGGAGGGGGGAAAGGGGTAGGTTGGTATTATAGATTTATATGTATATATATGTATGCTAAGGAGGTGCCCGGTGATACCCCAACTGCACTGACGGGATGGTTGAGGGAGAAAGGGAGGTAGGAAAGAGGGAGGAAGGAGGAGTGGCGGTAGGATGGGAGGAGGAAGGTGTAGGCAAGTGAGAGGGTGGTGCAGGAGGGGGACACCGGACACGTCCATGAATGTACTGATTAGTGTTGATTCTTTTTTTGGTTGATATTGTGATAAAAGATTTATGTTTTTGTTTTTTAATGAAAAATCAATAAAAAAATTATTTAAAAAAAAAAAAAAGAAATTACATGTGAACAGGATTAGGTTGGATCCCAATAACTCCAGTCACTATAACCATTGGTTCTGCATCCCCACTCTAGGTATTTTAGTATTCCAAGAGAAACTAGAGTGCTTAACTGCAACTAGCATGATCCATTTTAATGAACCCTGGCTAAATCTTCATTTGAAGGAGAGGGAAAGACTTTGGAATATGTTAAACATAATTCATTTTGGAAACTATGCATGGGCCTACCTCTAGCAGGAAAACAAATCAATGACAATTCATTCTAAACCTGAGCTAGAAGCACTGAACCGTAGAAGCATATATGTCTTAGAATTCAAAAAGATGAGAAATGAAAATGTGCCTGGTTACAAGATGTTCTTGCACATCTATTCAGGAACTATTCCGTTTCCCAACTGTCCCTTTTGATTACTTACTCCTAGACAAACAGTGAAGCCTCAGGGAAGATTTAAAAAATCTAGGACAAAAACATCTTTCATTGAAACGTGTGACAGTTTTGGTATACTACTGATAACAATTTACTAGTTAGTTCCCTGATTTGATGTTACTTGAACCTGATCTCACTTGAGCACTCCTACACCAAAACATCGGCCTGCAAACTCAATTTATTGATCAAGTTCCTCCACTCTCTGATAATGAATATCAGATTAACTCATAGCCTTCCTTTGAGTTTATCTAGAGATATTTTAGTAATCTGCCTGGCCTCTGTCATCTTGGTTATAGATGAGTCACTCTCTCTTATACGGAGAGATTTTTCAAAGAGAAATTAGCATGTATTCACTTTAACTAATCATTATCAACATTGTATAAATCAAACTTTTTAAAATAAAAAAATAGAATGGTGACCTCTGTATGAGTTTTAATTCTTCATAATAAGGATGTGATCTACCCCCTGAATATCAATTGTTTTTGTGCATGTTGATGGGGGGAAAGTGCATGGAGGACACAGTGACTTTCCCTTTACTATGGTTCTTCTTGAAACAACTGTGACTTTTCTTGGATTTAAGATGGCAATGGACTGGATAAGTGTTTATTCTGATTTCTTCAATTTTTACCTACATCATTTCATCACTAAAAAACATCACCCAAAAAACATTGCTGTAAGCCATGTTGGAAGAATTATTCAGATACAGATGAATGTATTTAATTTGATGTTCTCCTTCCAAATGGATTTTATTTTTATTTTATTTTCTCTAGTATTCCTGCTATTGGAGGAAAATGACACTCCCAGTAGCAGCATGGCTAAGAGAGCTATTTCTAGGAGCACTAGTAATACAGCATGTAGTCAATGAAGAAGATTAACCAGGAAGTCATTTTTCTCTTGATTCCCTCCTTATGTTTCACAATTCTGACTATTTGAAGTAAAAATAATTCTTAACAGAATTTTCAGCCCAATTCCCAATTACAGTTACATTTGGAAATGCAACTTTTTTGGGGGAAAACTAGACAGAAGGCTGGGTAATTGTTTTCATTACTGAGATATTGTTTCTCAGATTCTATACTTCATCAAACTTCAAATATAGCCCACATTTGTATCTGAATAACTTTTTTTCTGTTTGTATTTTCCAGGACTGCCCGCAGTTATTTCCTACAGAAGAAATTTTGATCCCTGTTGGTGAAGTGAAGCCCATCACACTGAAAGCTAGGAATTTACCCCAACCGCAATCTGGCCAGCGTGGATATGAATGTGTTCTCAATATCCAAGGTGTGATTCATCGTGTACCAGCTCTTCGCTTCAATAGCTCAAGTGTACAATGCCAGAATAGTTCGGTAAGATGATAAAATTTGTGAGATGGGAAGACATAATAAAAATATTTTAAAAAGTTCAGGATTTATTTATTTGCTACATTTGTAGAATTCATTTTTTATATTGGCGAAAGAAAAGTCTTCATCCTGGTTCATCCAAGCCGGGGATAAATAAACAACATGGCGACTGCTTTAGAAAGAAGGTTGCAGTTTATTGAAGAGCCAGACCGAAAGATGGTTCTGGCAGGAAAGAGGAGAGAAAACAGGGCTGAGCACATGTGGGCAGTAGGTTTTTATACCCTCTGAAAGCCTTTTGTTTGGAATAGTTTCCTGTTCCTGTTTTAGGCTTTGTATTTCCTGTGTCACGTATTCTGACCTGAGTCTGGGTGTGCCTTTCTGGTATTCTGATGGTGATGGGTTAGTCCTATTATGACCAAAGGTCATAACATATCCTGCTTCCCTGGTGTTGGGGCTAATGACTCTTAGAATTTGGGTGAGGTGTGCAGATTTTAGGTGTCTTTGTCTTCTTAAGCTTCTAGCTCCAACTTTCCTGATGGTTTACATCTGCATTTGTACAGGGCTGGCTTCTGCTTGGGAGAGAGAGACTTGGGGGCAGGGTTGGTTTCTGCTTTTAAAATCCTTTTGAGGAAATATATTTTTCTGCTCTTTTAATATTTCCTTCTCTGGGGAGCTGACTTCCCTCAATATATTAAAAAAAACCTTTGTGATAAAATGGTTTATCCCTACCCCCCCCCCAGGAAATTGTAAAGTACAAAATAAATCCATTTAAAATAAAAGCAACAATTTAAACCTACTTTACAGCAATATCAAAAAAAAGAACAAAAGAAAAAATGCATTCTGAAGGCTACAGATGACACGATTACTTGGTAGGATTTAATATTCTTCAACCTCCACAAATAAAGCAGGAAAAAGTCAAACCGACACTTTAAAGGTCTATATTTTATAACTTTTGGGGCAACCAGAAATAAGGTCCTGCTTTTGATAAATGTTTTCTTTCTGAAGGATAGTTCTAAGTGGCTGCTCTCACTGGCAATAGAATGCACATAGGAGAAGCACCATGTAATAGAGCTTCATGCTCATTAGAAATGTCAGAATAGAGGTAAAAAGAAACACAGTATTATAAATAGGGTTAGCTGACCGGGTATCATAACTTTATCATGTCTTGATTAATATTATGAGAACTTTTCTTCTTCTTTTAAAAAATACTAGTAAAAAATAGGGTGAATGAAGAGTCAAATACAATATATACAGGTACAGAAAAATAACTAAATAACTAATTCTTCTTAGAATAAGTCAATGTATTTTCTCTTTTTCCCTTTCTTGGATCTACAATACAATTAAATTATATGAGAAAATCATAGATTGGCATAGCTATAGTGATCAACTGGTAATGTTCATTTACATTCATTTATCCCAATAAAATGGATTGACAACTCTTCTTTATACATGAGTGCTTTTCCTCATTTATAGCAAACTTATAAATTTCCTTGTATAGTCACTGATGAATTATGTGTCTATATCTGACACCAAAACAACTTGAGAGACTGAGAATAATAAGATATTCATAAATGATGCAGTATAAGAAGTTTTGTTATTGTATAAGACTCTTGTGTTCTTTTCACTATTCTGTTAAAAATTGGGGAAGGAATTGATATTGTCACAGTTTGCCCAAAGCCAAAATAAAAATCAACTCAGTTTAGTACAGGGTTGCTTAAGAAACTGAACCACCATTTAACAATTGAGAGATTACCCAGGAATAGGAACATAAACCACCAAGTATGGGCCATTTATTTCTTCTGTCCAAGGATCATAGTTGCCCGTTTCTTGCCGCCACAACAGGCTGTTACATATCACCATGCCATCTTTTCTTTCTAGTCCTTTTCAACAAAGTATAATTTGGGTTTGTTGACTTGCTTTTCTTTACCCTTCTTTTTGAAAATGAACAGTTTTTAGATGAACTTTGGTAACTGGAAATCTGTCTTACTTACACTTCTTCAGTTTCCCAGTATTAAAGAGCTTGCTGCCCCAGATGACAAAGCTGCAGATGAGGCAAATGTAGAGGGTAAAAAAGAAAAGAAAAGGAGTTAGATGCATTTATGCCAGGGTTAAACTAATCCTGAATTCCAGGCGGGAATGTGCTGCAGGCAGGTGAGGTGTTTAATTAGAATCCTAGCCCCAGAGAAGATTTTTTATCTGTCAGCTTCCCCTTTGACTGGGGGTGTCAGGAAAGGGGGGCATTGGTGGGGGAGCATATGACAAAGGTGTTAAAGCAAAGCTAATTCACACAGGAGAGATAAAGAGAATTGCAGGCCTCTTATCAGGAAGCTGTCAAATTCCAGCCCCCAGTAGCTTGATAGAATGTGTAACACTGGAAAGCTGTCTGTTGCTTGGAGAAGACAGGGAAGGAACAGGAATGAGACAGGAGGAAAAAGAATTAAAGAAACATAATCTCTCTTGAACAAGCACCATAAAAGAGGCCACTGCTCCCTTGGTTGCAATGAAGCAAGAATGATCTCTTAGGAGTATCGAAGTTAACAGGAATAATAATGGAATCAAACGTATCAATCACTATTTCATTCCCAAGACCAGTAAAAACTGTCATTGCTGTCATGCTAGAATCAACATATTCAAAAAAAATTAAATAGTGATTTTATTAAACATTATTATAATGTTTGTAAAGAAAACATTTAACTTAAAGAAAAAGAAAAATACATAAAAATGACTTCTCCCTTCATCACAAATATGAAAAAATAGTAACTTATTACCTTTTCTCAAAATGCAGCAAATGATCTCTGCTTCCCATATCTCATCCCTTATCTATAAACCAATTCTTAAAAAGTCATCATTCAGTCCTTGTGAGCAAAAGTCTACTAAGGATTATCAAAGATAATAGAATATCTATTTCAATCTTGATCAAATCAATCAACTTTATATTTCTTCCTTTTACTTTTAATAATCTTGATCTCTAATCCTCTCAAATAATATCTGATTTCTCTTCATTTCTTTTCTTTTTTCCTTCTCACACAGTCTTAAAAAATTAAGAAATCTGTTTTGTAAATTCAATATTATCCAGATTTTGGTTTGTTATTGTATATTCTGTTTAATTATTAAGACATCAGCCAGTTTATTTTGTAGAACCAGTGTAGCATCTTTTTCTATATCTTTCTTGTAGCCTGTTATTTTTAAATCCACTCTTAGATCACTCTTAGTCTTATTTGATAAAACTTATTGCTCTATGATAAAATCTTTTAAAGGCAATAATGTCAGACATTCTTATAATTAACTTCTGGACACTGTTCACAAATTGTTTACAAATATCCTTCAATATGTCAAATGTTAAAATGTTTTGTTCCATTCGGTACTAGTAAGTAAAGTGTTATCCTTTAATTGAAATCTGTGGTCATTTTGGTTCCCTCTAGTGTCCAACCTTCAAAGTCCCCTACTTTCATTTTTTAAAGAATTCAAAACAAAGCATTTTTCCACTGAAAAGATTTTTATGATTAATTTAAAAATCTTATTTCAAATCCATTGGTATTCTTAGTCTGTTTTAACATTCCAAATTCAAACTTCTAGTTACACTTTTCCTGTTTATTAAAGAGAAACTATTTAGAGTTCTTAGACCTGGATTTAAAATTTGTTTCACTAAGGTTGAAGAAAACTCAGTGTTTTCAATCCATAAAGGCACCAACCACTGTTTGGTCAAAGATGGCATTCCCTTAACTCCCAGAGCTCTAAACCTGCTGGAAACCATGTCTTGCAATCTCCTTATGAAGAGCAACTGTTTGGAGCACTTGTGGGCAATCTCAAGTCTCCTCCTTGTCCAGAAAGGAATTATGAAAACCCAATATATTCAGTGGCTCTTCATTCAACGGTTATCATTGGCTCCACTTTTAATGAAACTATCTTCAGTTCACCATTTCTTCCCAGAAATAAACAATTTTGTAATTGTTCCATGGGAAATTTCTAACATGTTACTTAAGTATCTGTTGTAAACTTTTCCTTTTTAAGTAAAAATGAAGAAGAGAGTGTTGGTGAATAAAGGTATCACAAGAATTATAATTCTTACTGCGCAATCTTGCATACAGTTGTTCCAAATTAAGTCCTATTGAGGAAGTAGGAAATAATCCCATCTAAATATGTATGAAATTCTAAATATACTATAAGATAGTTACAAATATTTTAAAGAGACTTGAATTCTATTCACTTTTTATATCATGGAATCCGTTATCATAAATCATCCAAATCAGATATTTGGAAGGACAACAGAGACCATACTGCTAATTATCATTCAGTCAATCTATTAAGCACAGTCTGTAAAATGTATGCCAGATATCTGTGCTGGAAGTTCATAGATTGGCTGGATTCAGAAAACATATGGTAGAGGAACATGCCTGGATATAAGCTTTGGGTAAACATAAAACCACTACAATTCATTATTCTTTACTTAGTCTTATCTATAAACCCTATGAAAATATTTATTTGAGGGTAAGTTATAACTTAGCCAGTTATTTGTCTTTACGCTCTTTGGAGAGGTATTTAGTGAGAACGTATGCTTGCCACATCTGAATTAAATTTTATATTTAATATTGAGTATTTAGTTAAAATGGAATTTCATCCACTAAAAATATACATAATGTAATTATTCTATGGTGAGACATAGTAATTCTCTCTTATTCAGCAATAGGTCTAAGGAGGCAGTCTAAATCTTAACATTTTATTAAAGAAAACAAGTTTTGCAAATATATTTTGGCAAAACAAAGATTACATTTTTTTATAAAAGATTAAAAAAAAGTAAAGCTAACCTGTAGAGTTTTGCAATCAGTAAATAGAGCAGGTGGCATGCTTTAAATATCTGGGGTGATTTTTCACTCCACAGGCAGTTACTTTTGTTGCATACAATGCTCCCCAAAGCACTGCAGTTAGATGTCATTTCTCTGTACAATAGAAGTGCCTATTACACTCCAGCTGCAAACAAGCTTTTTGTCGCTAAATACCTAGCTCAC